TATTTTGGACCAAAAATGTCTGACTTTAAATTTATGATAAATGTATGAGTAGATTTAGGAACATTGCAGAGCACGCTCCTAGATATCAATTAGGTATGTGCCGAATTTGACGATTTTGGGAGTTGTGTCATGAGTTAAAACTAATTTGAGCAAAAACAACTGATCGTCATGCGCGCTAATTTATGTAAATTAATCAAGGAAGATGGTGGGGTGCGTATTTATATGTAATAACAACTGCGACTTATGCATTAACTCCAAACATCTTGGGCCAGGGGTCGTTGTTTCAGAATACGCCTTCACAACAGCCTTTTGCCTCGTTGTGTTTCCTGTACTTAAAGGCAATGTCCAGCATTATAATATCATGAACAAATTTGATCAGTGCACAATCCCTAAAATGCTCATCAACTGACTTTCACAAGGTGATATTTCATGGGTATGTAACAGGCGAAAAATCGCGTAGGTTACTCAAAAAAACAGAGTAAAATGTGAATTTCCTCTTTCTCTCCATGGGCATAAACACAATCCTCATTGTAATAGTAACAGAAAACTAAAATTCAGTCTTTGAATACACCCAAACTATTAACATTTTGCATTAAAATACTTTAATTGTGAATGAAGGTATGCATTTTGTGTGTTATTAATTGTATAAATGTATGTTTAAATGGTTTACCATGGTAACAATAATTGTGTTTTAATATGGGAGTTAAGTAAAGCTGATTAATATCGTATATCAGTCGCCCACGCTCACATCTCAGTACAATACCCATATCTGTGATCGCGATCGATGACCTCAAACGATTTGCATATCAATGCGAAGAAAGAATTCCTGGCAGGGGTCAAAGTACCACATACATACATAAACAACAGTGGAACTCAATGGCGGATGTAGCAATGAAACGGTAAGTGAGTGTATATGTATCTTTTAATCGAATTCGATGCTACGATTCCGCTGTAAAGACGAATGTGTACGTACTTGTGTATCACTTTCGCATTATCCGTACTATGGTTACAGCCCCGGGAGGATTAGCGCAGGACTGGCTTTATTATCGGATCAACGTATCGCTTATGAGTTGATCTCGATGTTATTAAAACACTGATTGTAAATATAGCCTTGTATGCGGGTAATATCTCACAGCCATGGCAGCGGTTGATTACATTCAACCTTGTCCGTCATAGAGTACGTATTCTGGCGTTGTTTCAGTTTGCGATATTGATACAGATATCACGTAGTATACAATATGGTGTATAATATGTTTATAATATATGTTGTGTTATGTCATGCGTTTTGTGGGGGGGGGAGAGTTCTGCAATGAAGTAAAACTGTAATATTGCACAATACATTGTCTAGGGGCACGTTTAGGAATTTCACATTTAGCGGCAGTGCGTACAGTTGTGCGTCCACAAATTCTACGCGAACGCAATCGCTGCGTGCCTTCGTTCCTGTTTCTGTTTACGCTTAGAGCGTACCAACGGGAAGCTTACTTATTTGTCAACGTTTATTATTCGACAGATCATCGCGACGGGTAGATTTAATACGTTATTAAAGATGATCTATGTCATTTCCAAGGTTGGCTTTTACTTCATCATGAATAGTTCACTAGTAACTTACAAGCTGTCCACTGGTCGTTATTTACAGAAGGCCAACCATATGCGATGTTCAATTACTTTACAAAACTAGCACGTTTAAAATGGGGTCATGGTGAAAACTGGCGTTTGAAAATAAATTCGCGTTAGTCTCGAACGTTTTAATATTTTTCTTTTAACCTAAATACTCCGGTACCTGCTTATGTTCAGTTAGTTGCTGTTTGTTCACAAGACTAAAGTATCAAGGTATTGAATAAAGTCGTACATATATCGGTCATATATATTTTAGCATCATATATAATTTTTATGTTGAGGTTGGGAAAGTCAATCTTGAATCGCAACGTTGTTCTAGTGAGAGTTCGCTAAAATCGATAAAATATATATAAAAAGAGAGATTAGACCTGGTCTGTCGTGTTTTCTATAGAAGCTTAGTGATCGTAAGATATTAATACTACTGACAGGGAATTTAATTAAAATCTGTCTCTTGGAACGTTTTTTTACATGCATACGGTGGTTATATAGTGGCGGCGATC